ATCCGTCAAAAGGGCTCCGCTCCAGTGGCTCTGGAGTTTCCCATGTTTACCTTATAAGTACTCATATTTAAATGGAATTAAAGAATCTTAACAGCTGGTTCAACTAAACAATTTGATTCTGTGATGTTCAATAGCATTGAAAAGTTAATATGTTTACCAACAGGGTGCAGCACTATTATTTTTTCTTAGATTTATGACAACAGCTAATTTGCAACCAAAAGGTGAGTGAGCGTAGCTAACGAACTTCAACCTAGAGGCGAGGTAGCTTAGCGAACGAGCTAACCTGAAGGCAAGTGAGCGCAGCGAACGAGCTCCAACCTAAAGGTGAGTAAGCGTTCAACCTGGACGTGGTTGAATCATACGAACCAGCTCATCTTGAAAATGGACGAGCATTGACATAAAACCACATTAGGACTAGGACAGGACGACGTCTGTCGGACCAGCTAGTAAAAGAATAAAACAACTTTTAACAAGACACACAGCTGATTCAAATCATTAAATGAAACTGTAACAAAAGACTAGCTCTAGTGAGTAAATGGAGAACTAATTTAGAGCGAGGGAAAGTAAATTTAGAGCGAAGGAAAATCAGCTGATCGATATCCCCTCGCCCTAAATTAGAGCTTGGGAAACGACTACTTTCATTGATGTCAGCTGTTATCGAAAATAGTTACTTTTGTTACGGAGTGATGACATAACATTTCCTTCATTTCTCCGCAGATTTTAGAACATAAAGCGGTATATGATCATAAACATAAACAAAATACATCACTTGGCCTCAACTTAACATAGCATTATTAATTAATAGGACTGTCAAAATTTGATGTCCAAACCAGATGTTACGGCTAATACAGTAATATGAGATACGGGTCAGTGACGTCATTTTGTTTACACGAATCAATGCAGTTTTCTGTTCCAATATCCGTGATTTTCTCTATAAACCCCGATTATCAAGAACGAATGCGTCCAGTTTAAAGAAAGTTTAAAACTAACTAAAAACCAACTGACCTTTCTCAGGACTGGGTGAGCATATGATTATCAGGAGAGTGATTTAACAAGTTACAGAAAATTCTCAGATTCCTTATCGTTATTTTATAAGTTTTTGAAGTAAATCAACAAAATAAAACTATCTTTGTGTTAACTTAAGTTATGCCTCCAGTAGTATCATCAAAGGCAAGGATAAGGTCAGGCACACTTTAAAATGTACCCTAAAATAAAAAGTGAACATTTAGTTGATATCAACCCTTTCAAACGTTTTAGGACTTAAAATGCATGTCAAAAAGGTCAACATCATAATACGATGAAACATCTACTTGCAATATCTAAAATCAATTATCATCCTAATACACCTTATATTATTAAAGTTTCATCATATTCGAGAAAAAAATCAATTCAAACCCTTAGAAATCCACCATCAAGGAAGAAATCTCGCTTAGATTTTCTGTCTTGATTGGTTTGTGAATATTTAAAAAGAGAAGCGACATTCGCGGCTCCTGTTCCATTAAGTTGAATATTTCACACTTTGTCGCTTGCGATTTAGAAGTGTTTTGCTTGTTTTTTTTCACGTCCATGTGCAAAAATCCTTTAACTGTAACTAAAATATTATTTAGTAAATAATTTGTTTAGGACCTAACAAATTACTTTAAAAAAACACTTAAATTTTCAGAGGGCTTTTAGATAGTTAATTTCATTACTAGGACCGAAAGTGGCATTTTCCGGTGTACGCTCAAGTTTTTGTGTGAGGCGAAACCGAACACAGGAAACCCCAATTTTTACGTGCGAGGCACGTACTTATACAACTTTTGGAAAATGTGCACAGTTAAAGAGTTATTATTATTATTTTTTTTTTTAGAAATGACGAGTCTGTTCCAAAATATCAAGGAAGGTAAATTTTCTGATTTAAATAACAAGAATTGTGTTAAGCCTATTTATTAAAATGTATTAGTGTAACAATTTATTCAGATAATCAAAACAAAAAATGTTGAATATAAAATCACTGTAAATGAAATGTAAAACAATCTGTTACCTCTTAAGAGCCTTACCAAAACGATTAGAGCATGTTCATGACCTAGATGAAATATTGCTTGGTTTTGACATTGGATAACGGGATCTGGCTTTAGAAGGAAGAAACGCGGGTTCTCTAAATCAGTTTAATAGTTTTACTCCCCAAACTTTACTCAATAGATACAAGCCACTTGGCTAAATGTAAAGTTTTGTATTTTGTTCAAAATACTGTATATAAAACAAAGTCGTGTTAGTCACACCACTTATATTTCAAGAACGGCTGGACCGATTTTTATGATTTTTGATTCAATGGATTCGTCTTTGTCTCGATTAACATATAGGCATATTCAGTTTTGTATTTAACCTTAGGGCTTAGCCCTACAAACCTGTAAAGTGTGTATGTTAGGCTTATGGAGCTATTGGAAGAATGTAAATAAACAAATATATTAATTGAATTCAGCTGTAATAGTATATTTCGTACCTAGAGCCGAAAATGAAGTGCTGCTGGCTCGAGATAGGTTTTGTTCGAGACGAAGTCGAGAACTTAAAACGATAGGGACCTTCAAAACCATTACGGTCTGTGGTACGAACGCTATTTTTCACCACACTATACCCTATTACCACTATTCACCACAATAATAATGTACACTTACAGTCAACACCACTACAACTTAAAGGTTATGTAAAGAAATAATTTGAGGAATCAGCAAAAATGATAATAAACAGTTGCTAGGCAGCGGTGACAATAAAACAATTCTATTGCAATGCTATGGATACTGATTGTGTATTTAATATGCATTCATGTTTTAGGAAAGTAAGCAGACAGCTGATTTTGCGGCCCTAGGGATGCAAAAACCTGCTCGGTCCCTAAAATGACGATGACAGCTGGTATGGCTAGCAAAACGTAACTTTCAGCCACCAATTAACGTATGTAAAACAGCTAAAAACATCATAGTGTTGTGAAAATGGCTGTCATCGTCATTTGGGGACCGAGCAGATTTTTACTTCCCTAGGGCCGCAATATAAGCTACTCGCTTACTTTCTTAAAACAGGAATGAATATTAAATACACAATCAGTATCCATAGCATTGCAATAGAATTGTTTTATTGTCACCGCTGCCTAGCAACTATTTATTATTATTTTTGCTGATTCATCAAATTATTTCTTTACATAACCTTAAATTTGTAGTTGTGTTGACTGTTAGTGTGCATTATTATAGTGGTGAATAGTGGTAATAGGGTATAGTGTGGTGAACAATAGCGCTCGTACCACGGACCGAAATTTTCGGCCCTAGGTACGAAATATACTATTATTTCACAGTTCAAAGAGCAGAGGTTAAGAGGTGCAGGTTCTGCTCACAAAATTCATACGTTTTAGCGAATTTCCCATATAGGGAATAAGCTATTATGATTATGAGAATACAATAGTTTTATCGGTATATTTTCATGGAAACAGAAAAACAATGTATACATGTTATTTTAATTATTTTGTTACTGGTAGCTATTTGTTAACAAATTTGAACTGATTAACACGTCATGTACCTAATCGTATCATTTGAAAATAAAAATCGTATGTTACAGTATTTTCATACATGCATCAGCACTTCATATAATTTTTACTAGGAAGCCTTATAAGTTAGCCTAGCTTGAAAGAAAGATATTTTTTCAAACTAAGTGGTCCAATGAAATTTTGTTCCTGAAATTAAAGGTGGTTGTGTAACTTTTTTATACAACAGATTTAAACATAAATATTTTCTCTGCAGTGTCCTCTCCGTTGCAAAGTACGGGTACAGCAGCTAGTATTGTATAAATAAAACACTTACTTATGATATACCATTAGCTGGCATAATGCATAGATCCATGCTAAATTATACTTAGCTTACCATTCACAAAATAAATATGTTTTACATGAAAGAATCATAGATCATGAGTTTTTATGAAAATAAAAGGTATTTTACAATAAAAGATCATTGTTGTTAGACACTTTATGATTTTATTTTACATTTTGTATTTACAACATAATTTGCCGTGACAGTCATTTATAAACACAGTGGCTTTATACAGCGGATAAATGTTAAACTAAACTTTATAAGCTATAAAGAGATGTATGATAATCAAGTTAGGTGTCAATGCTTGTATTTATAATAAATTACAAATATTTTCAATTTAAGTACCTATTTACAAGAATGTGTTCTTAAAATTATTTACTGTTGTCTACTAGTCTGGAAGATTCGAGATTTGTAAGAAAACGAATTAATAAGATTTAGTAATAAAACTGAATGGTAAAATGTTACAACAGTATTAGTTCTTAGTGTGCATAAATATTACATATTACAGAATGGAAAGAGTATTTACTGACCGTGGTTTGAAATTAACTTAAACTCAGACATACTAGAAATGTTGTCAACTCTAACTGGTGGGAAACGCGTCTTAGTGTTACTTTGTGATGGAAAAACTATTTATTTGCAAATATAAACTAGTGACTGAAGGAATTGAAATCCTACAAAACTCTGCTATATCTAAAATCAAAACATAACTTTACCATCTATCAAATATACGTCCAAATATATGTTGGCTGTTTAGGTACAAATATTATGTAAAGCGCTATCGGGAATACATACGTAAGAGTTAGTACTTACAATATTAAAAATAATCGATATGAAAATTTGACTCACTACATTTTATCCACTAAATTAATAGATTGTATTAAAATAGGCCAACTGTGGAAACAAGCGAAAACCAACAACAAACAAAACAACACTATTCCTACACTCAAAATATATTCTTTGTAACATCATTCAAAACAATCACTAAGTCTAACAAATAGTCCGAGATGTTACTTAAATAAAAACAAAATATGAAAGTTCAGATATGTTTCTCATTCGATTTGCGAAATTTCGTTTTAAAAGGGCAAATCAGTTTTTGTCATAAACTGTAACCATTCTAATCTAAAAGTAATCATAATAAATAATTTCAATGATAAATGAACTTTTACTGGTAAAGGTTCATTAAATATATTTAACAAATCAAATAGTTACAATAAATGTTCAATAACTTAATAGAGTCTAACTACTGTATTCATATGAATACTTAATATTTAATGTATAAATACAAAATGAGTCTTACATACTAAATAACATTCACACTTTTAACGTATCTAAATCAATACATTCATCAACAAATCATTTTATGTGTAATCTGTATACAGTCATGTTCAAATATGCTAACAATATTATTTCATTGTATATACACAACTGTAAGCAAACAATGTTCAAAAAATAAAAGATTGAAATCATGCTAAGCCCTTTGGGGTTATCAACTAACTAAAATATATCTTGAAGATAAAACACCCTCAAAATGAATATAACTGTCAAAATTATTAGCTTTGCTAAAATTAATAAAACCTTATTTTGGGCGTTCCCTGACTGTAGGCCTCATCTTTTATAAGTTTCAAAAGTAGAATTGGCTAGCTATATAAGATATTCTTTTATTCAGTTTAAATCTTAACGACTTTCCGCCCTGGAGTGGTGCCCACAGTCATGATCCCCGACTATCAAACTAAGCTTCCAAATGAAGGAATATAAAATGTTGCTGATTTACAGTGATATGGACCTTTTTATTTATTTTTCTATACAAAACTGGAGAAACATTGGGTATAATACTGGATGAAGGACTAAATGAGTCTCGGCTCACTCTTGGGCCTTGAGTTCCCCGTTGATCAAGGGTTTCATGATGTGATCTCCTTCAATCATGGATGAGGCAGAGTCCTGGAACACGGAGAAGAGGTTTAAAGCTAAAGTCAGTAAGTAGGTGAGTCAAGATATGAGCATAGATCACAGTTATAAGGTTGAAAGTTTAAATGGAGAGGTCGAAGGTAGAAAACCTAACCTTGCCCGTAGTATTCACTCTCAAAAAATTAATTTTCACACACTTAATAGTATATTTCGTGAGGCCTTGAAAATGAGGTTTTGCTGGCTCGAGATAGTGACGAAGTCGAGAACTTACAATGATCCAGAGTTGCAAAACCATTTCGATCCGTGGTACGAACGCTATTTTTCACTATACACTATACACTATTACCACTATTCACTGCAATAATAATGCACACTGATAGTCAACACAACTACTACTTTAAGGCAAGGTCACACTAAAATTTTTTAGTGTGGCCTTGTTTAACGTTATGCAAATAAATAGTTCGAGGAATCAGCAAAAATAATAATAAATACCGGTAGTTGCTAGGCAGCGGTGACAATAAAACAATTCTATTGCAATGCTATGGATACTGATTGTGTATTTAATATGCATTCACGTTTTAAGAAAGTAAGCGGGCAGTTGATTGTGCGACCCTAGGGATGTAAAAACCTGCTCGGTTGCCAAATGACGATCACAGCTGCCATGGCCAGCAAAACTTAACTTTCACCCACCAATTAACGTATCTAAAATTGCTAAAAACACCATAGTGTGGTGAAAAAGTAATTTTGACAGACTCTCTTGACGTTAATGTGGTAAAAATGTAAAACTTTTACCACATTGTTTGGTAAACTATTTTCATTGTAAAGAAACTACCCCACAATACTTACAATACGCAGGGCGTGCATGATACAGGCCTGCGCGGTGGACTCTACTTCTAGAAGCTCATCCTCCATATCTACGGGTGACGTCATCGCCTCATCCTGGTCCCCAACTGACTTGTCGTCCTGTAGAACGCAAAAAAACCAGCTGTAGTTCCAAAATCATCAAATGAGGAAAATTGAATCATCATTGAGTGTGTTAGCTACCAAATTCATCAAAATATCGTGCTTTCAGCAAAAATAGGGGACAAAATGAACGTGGTTAAGTAAGATGATTTACCAGATTAATTATATGAGATTAAAGACCGTAAACACAAGGTAAAACTACCTGGGAGTGGCGCCAATTATTGGTAGTCAATTTACATTTACAACTGCGGTACTTGAGTGCGGAAATGGAAATGGCTGTGTAAATAATGAATAATGCCTTTAATGATCATGAAACACGAAATATGCTTCGTTGGATTTTTTTGTATAGTGTTTTACTCTCTCGTCTCCTATCTCATTGTCTTAGAGTTCCTGTCACAGTCAGCAACTGCTTTTGAATTATTTTGGAATGTTTATCTATATTATAAAAAATGAAATTGTAACTCTATATAGTATAGTTTTCAAACAGAGCAACCCGGATACTAAAGGAAACAATCCTATAGTTCGGCCGCTTAGAAAACGACCTGCGCGCTAATGTTAAACCAATGCTGGAGGAGGTCGTTTTCTAAGCGGCCGACCTATAGCAGAATCACGTGAACTTTCAAAGATATATTTGACTTTGAGTGGAATATGAGCATCTATCTATCTATCTATATATTAATAGGCAAGCATGTTTCTTTAAAACCTTTTTTCTCAGCTCGTGTGCATCGTAGGGAAAATCTACGCATACCGTTGGAAAGCTATTTTCCTGTAGGTGTGCAGAACCCCTTTATAAATTTAAATAGGCTCAAAGATAAGCACAAAAAATGAGTTTAAAAATTTGAAAAAATTAACATGGATCTTATGCGTTGCTATGCTGGTTACGAAATAACAACGAAATATAAACAGAAAATCAAAACAAATGGAAGAAACTCCAATCACATGTTTTATTTACAGTGTGGGGTGAAAATAGATAAGTTAGTACATTACATATTTTTGGTCGAGTTTCGACCACTGGACGACCTCTCGTACTTATTTAATACGCAAGCAGGTTTTTTGTGACAATTACTCCTCCGAAACTACTGAACCAATTGACATGTTTTTGGTGTCATTGGAAAGAGCGTAACGTGAAGATGTGCAGGAAACTTTCTTTTTAAGGAAATAATTAGAGAGTGAGGCCCTGGGGCCCTTTAAAGTTTCGTATTTATCCATAAGATTAACATGGGAAACAAAATTTGTTATGAAACTCCAGCTGTTGTCAGAAATTAAGAGTGAAATATTTATTGATGGTATCCATGGTAACAAAGAACAAACCCACAAAATTCAAAAATGTAAACAAGCAGAACTAGCTGTCAAATTAATTTTGATTTCACAATTCCACACAGCTGGTTCAAACATATTAAATACTGCATGATTATTAGAACAGGAACGGTAGGGATCATAAACATTAATCAAATATGTCACTCGCCCGAATCATATTTGTCTATGCCCGAATGTAAACATTTAACATTGATAAAATGGAACTGTCAAACTATATGTTAATGTCATTAGTATGGAATTCTTTCAACATCATTTGTTGATCGAGTTTGTTTCAATATTTTTGAACTGCTGTAATAATATTTTACAGGAAATAATTGTTAGATAAATTCATGGATATAAGTAATAATTCAGGTTCTTCAATCTTTGCTGTTATTAAAATTGTGTATCCGCAGCAAACCTTCAGACTAAGCGAATTTCCATTTACCTGGCTTAATTAATACAAAGATTAATTATTCCCTTAAAATGGAAATTTTTTTCCTATTTAAATAACATTAAGTTAATTTTAATATGAGTACTTAGGTTTGCTGCTACAGGGAAGGTAGGTGTGTGTTTTTTTAAATGTTGATAGCTAAGTATGATTGTTATTGGTTTGCAAATCCTGTAATACTTTACAATTGCTCGAATTCGAGCAACATGTACACTAGAAATATAAAATTCAAATACAACATCTGATGGAATCGTATGAACAAATTGTATTTCCATAGAGCTGTTTCAAAACATGTGTATTTGAAAACAAAACAGCATTTTAATATTAGACATCATTAAAGAAATTGTGGACAAAATTAATAAATACCATAAAATTGGTTAAAACGATTAATTCTATTATTTCCAAAATGGCGGCCATTTTCCAAAATGGCGGCAAACTTGAAAAGTGGAATATTGTGTATTTTATGGTATTTTTGGAATGTGGATTCAATTTTAAGACTTATTTGACTCATTTACTTTTCGCATTTTCGCTATAAACCTACTTTTTTAGGAGCTACATGATGTAAAATGTACACCGGATGTCATTTTTCCATAGGCTGTAACTCCTAAACGAGTGGGTTTATCGAAAAAATGTCAAGAATAAAAAAGTTTTTAAATTGCCTGTTCTATCCGAAATCATGATAAAATATAGGGTGTTCCATAAGAAATTTCAAAGTTGGCCGCCATTTTGGAAAATGGCGGCTGAATTTCGAAAAAATAAAATCATATTTTTAAATGCCACAAAAAATAAAGGAATGTCCCCTATTTAAAGTTTTCTCTAATTCTTACCGTTTCCAATATCCCAATGGTGGCCTCCTTGAGTTGATCACCCTGTATACGCAACAGCCAATTTATAGTATTTTTTCTTTTTGGAAATGTCCCATTGCTATGTCATTTGCATTATTTGTTGCCAATGAAGCCGCAAGACCTTATAAACTAGGAGGTCCCTAACAGTTTAAGAATAAAAGCCAACTTCATTTCAAGTATTCCACTACACCTATCATTCCGTAGAGAGATTATATTGACAACTTTATGTTATTGATAAGGCTGAGACAACTAACTGACATCCCCCATGTCAAGGAATTCCAGCTTTAACAGTAACCCCACAATAAATTTCTCATGACTATGCTAGAGGGTTCATTCATTGGCACAGAAGTACGATATGAACTGACGCCACGTGACGAAGGAAAAATCAAACTTACACTGTAACGGACATACCTCCCTTTGAAGTTAGAACATTTCTTCCCAAAAAATATTTTCTTTTCAAATAAAATCATATTACACTGATGAAATCACAGAAGTGTTTAACTACAAAAGACCCACCAATACGATTTTAATACTATTTAAAGGTTCTTCCAAAGGAAGAGATATCATATAACATACTAATAATAACTCCGATGAGTCAAATGACGTACGGTATGGGAAATATTTTAATCATTGAATGATCAACCAAATTTGGCAACTAACGCAATTAAAATCATTATTGTTTTCACACTTACTACCCTTTAAACAATGCTAAATGCTCAAAATATGTATATTTCACCCAATTTATCGCAGTTAGATGAATTAACGTAAGCCTTGAAAGTAACCGTCGATTTCGACGGGTTTCCCCTAGTCTTTTATAAAAGTTGTTTGGCAGTTTACAAAACATATAATTGCAAGCGTGGTTGCAAATAAAATGCCCCATGCCGAGGTTCCTTTATGCATAACACCGTCCATACGTGAATACGGTAGTATTAATAGTCAAACTTAATACATAACCATTTTATCTGATGTTTCATCTTTATTTCGAAATGTTTAAATTTTGGGTTATTGTGAGTTTTAAATAAATATATTGAACAAAATCATGTTATATAAATAAAATGATTCAATATTGCTTTGACATCCATTTGTGAGCCACGTTTCAAGTTTCAAGTCTCTAGCTCATCGGGAAGTTAGTTTAAAATCGATTGCAAAATTTGTACCGAACAGACAAGAAAGTGAGCTAATAAACTGAATAAACTAAATAGTTGTATAGGTCTCACTTGTATCCATAGTTTGAAAGACATGATTTGCAACGAAAACTAACAAATCCACCAAAACCCGTTACAAAATAGTTACAATCCACGGACGTTTGATGGGATTTCCATCAGATACAGATTGATGAAAAGTTGACAGTCATGAGCAATTATGTGGACAGCAGATCTAAGGGTGAAATGAAGGGGCGTTCGGCCGTCAATCAATGAGGGCGGGTCTGACACACCCCGCCACACCCTACTGATAACACGATAACCCGATAATACGTCATTAGCTGGACTTATCGGAAATGTTACTCGGCATGTAGGGCTGAGGGATTTTAAATATTGTGTATTCACTAATTACACATCTTAAAATACTAGGTTCCATTTCAATTCGGGCTATAAGGTCGTGGTTATATGAGATAGCTAAAAACCATTTGTGGTAAAAGCGATTTTAATCTGGGACATCGGTTCGAACGGACAACCACGTGAAATATGTTAATCTTTCAAAGATCGGCTTTAATTTTCAAGTCTATGATACACCACCTCCTCTAAGGGACGCATACAATGAGTCATAATAAAAAATCAAACGTAAGCATTTGAGCTTTTAGTAACTATTTTGTAAAAAAAAAAGAAATTACTTTCCCAAGAATCAAGATCCGAAATTCAGATACTATTTTAAAAGCAGTAATGCCCCAGCAAGCAGTAATGTGGATATGTGTCGAAAATAAGAAACTCGAGAAACTTTCCACACTCACCTGTGCGGCTCGTGCGAAAACAGTTCTCTAAAGCGCAGCAAAAAGTGCCACTTCCGCACACTAGTTGCACAAATAACTATTGTTTATGAGAAACAGCAGGGTAAAAGGCATTTAAACTGTTATTTCACCCATAAGCTGCTTGTTCTTCACTTGGCAATGTTTAAAGAAGCGTACCAAACAGCAGAGAGCCAAACCATTGTTTTTATCTCATTAATTTTCGGGCTAATTTACAGCAATCAAGTTGTTTGCCAATGCTTCTTAATTAACAGTAAGGGGTTTTCTGCCTCTACGATAGCAAATATTCATTATGTGTTATAAGAGGCTCGTCATACTTACAATATGATAATGGACACCTCAATTCAGTAGACTGTTTTAGTTAGATACATCCACATAATTCGCCCTATCGATTTAAGTGAGTTATTTTCAGAAAATTTTAAAATTAAATTGAAAATTTAAATTACCACATATTTGGTGATAAATTAAATTATTTAACATTCACTAATTTAGTGTTAGAATTTCCAGTCCTACTAGTAGGTATAGTCACGCGGTAAGTAGGCCCTTTCTAAGCAGCATGTCTCCTTTGACTGTCGTTTGTATGCTTTGATTATTTTTTGTTTGTGCCTGGATTTGGTTAAAACTACTATCCAAACATATACAAGTTTTAATCATCAATCATAACTATGGAATTTAAAACAACTGTGGCTAAGTGGGACTAATTTAACATCTAGACAGTCCTTGAAAAAACCAAATCAGTAATTAAGTAACCAGTTAAGTTAAGTTAAGTAGTCAAATAATCAGTTGGATTTGCTATAATTGACCAGTGGAGTGTTGTAACCCACCTACCCTAGTGCGGGTAAAGGAATCCCATTCACAGTACAGGATGTCCCGGAACTCTCTACCAAAATTTTAGAGCATTGTTCCTGAGGTAGAAACATATGTAAATACCATATTTAAATTGTCCGGAAGTCCTTATTTACTAACACAGCCGCCATTTTGTTTTTTTTTCACTTATCAATACTAACAACATACGAAATTGAAACTTTGCATAAACATTTATGACAACCAAACAAAGCTAGAAAAAAATTATGAAGATTTTCCAAATTCATAAAACAAAATGGCAGCCATTTAAATTTGTTGTAAAATCAACGGTATTTGAGTTATTTAAGAAACAAAATTTTAGATGGCAAACATTTTGTTTTATGAATTTGGAAAATCTTCATAATTTTTTTCTAGCTTTGTTTGGTTGTCATATGTTTGTGCAAAGTTTCAACTTCGTATGTTAAACCGTTCTTTAGAAAAAAATAATAAGTGAAAAAAAACAAAATGGCGGATGTGTAAGTAAATAAGGGCTTCCGGACAATTTTAATATGAAGTTTAAAAACCGCTTTCAGCTATCCTCAGTGAAATATTCTTACATAATCTACAGAAAGAAAAAATATTGAATGGGAACCAGTATGACAATAAAATAATCTATTGGTGGAGATATGTTGATGATGTGTTGTGCTTGTACAGAGGCAATAAGAGACAAACGGCTATCTTTCAAAACTATTTAAATTCCTTACACAACAATATAACTTTTTCATCTGAAACTGAATCCAATGGCAGTATTAACTATTTAGATTTATCCATATCTAATGTCGATAATAAACACCTCTTCAGAATATACAGGAAACCCACCCAATCAGATCATCATACTGCACACAAACTTTCAGCTTTTAACTCCATGTTGCACAGATTAATTAATATACCGATGAGCACCCCTGACAGAAACAATGAATTGAACACAATAAAATATATAGCACAACAGAATGGTTATGACCCGTCTATAATTGACAAACTTTACAATAGGCATATGGCTAAACAAACATCTTCAAACTCATCCCAATTAGATAGAAACAAAAAATATGTGTCTGTTAGATACTCAAAGAAAACGGAGCATATTATCGGGAAAACATTCAAAAAACAAAATGTCACCGTATCTTTTAAATCAGAGAACAATTTACAGAGATTATTGGGGAATGCAAATAAATCCAATGGAGAGAATAAATACAAGAATTCAGGTGTATACAGGCTCAATTGTGATAACTGTGACGCATTTTATATCGGACAAACAGGCAGAACTTTTGATTTAAGATTTAAAGAACACGTCAAAGAAGTAGTAAATAATGGGACAGGAACGGGAGCAAAACAGAGTACAAAATCAAAATATGCGGAACACTTAAATATAGAGGGGCATAAATACACAAATATAAGCAATAATTTAGAAATTATAGCAAAGGTAAAAAAGGGACAGCGGCTAGACAGATTAGAAGAAATGAATATATACAAGGGTTTTAAGCAAAATCAAAACATATTACATGAAAAAATACATTCTGATTCGAATCCAGTGTATGACACCATTATTAGGCTGATGGACAATAAAAGAATGATACCCAGCTGAAGATGTCGTCATGGTCCAAAGTTCAGTGTAGGATACCGACCACCAAGTCAGTGTAGCCGCAAACCTGAGCCCGTCCAGCCGTGCGCACGGTGTTACACAGTATTTGTTATCTAAATGTTTCGTACGTGTCGTGTATGTGTGATAAATGGAAAATATGTTTGGACTATTTATTTAATACATCGACGCTGTTGCTATAATGCAACATAGAAGCAAATTCAACCTAGTGACAGTGGAGCTGAGGATGACCTGATGGTTGAAACGCGTACTCCACAGCAATTTATGGATTGATGACGTAAGTTATTTAATTAATTTTAATATGGTATTTACATATGTGTTTAGCTCAGGAACAATGCTCAAAAATTTTGGTAGAGAGTTCCGGGACACCCTGTATACCTCATTGAGTTTGACTCACATGCTTGATCTAGTATCTGTCCGCAATTTAATTTCTGGAAGTTACACAACTTATGAGAGCCTCAGTACCTCTGTGACAAACTCTCCCTTCGGCAGGATACTGCTTTGCGTAGCACCCGGCAGGACAAGCTCCTCCATTTTCCGAGGATAAGTCGTGAGGTTGGCAGGAGGGGGTTTGCCTATTTCGGTCCAGCATTGTACAATGGACTCCCAGCAAGCCTCAAAGACCTGTCTGTTACTTGTTTCAAAGAAAGACTGAAATCTATATTTTCAAGTTAGATTAAGGCCAAAAGTGTTTTTATTTGTTAGATTTTAGTTTGTTATTGTCTTGCATGTTTGTACTGAATTGACGAAAGTTATTTTGAAAAGCTGTTTGTACAGAAAATTGCTTGATAAATAAAGGCATTTTTATTATTTATTATTATTACTATTATTATGATTATGTGATGTGTTCACTACAACAGAGTTTTCCACGATCCCCCTTGTTTCTGCATTTCTCCTTACAATATACCCCAACATGTTCACACCGATGGTCCAGCTTACCTCCTTGCCGTTGGGTGAGACAGGTGGTGTAGTCTCCAGGGTGGGCGACAGTCTGGAGCTCTTGGAGGACCCTAGCTCGTAGATGTTGAGCATGTGCGCCGCCTGGACATGTTCCATCAGGTCCCAGGCGCTCAGGAAGGAGTCCTTGCATTGCACACAGAGCAGCGCTGCGGTGTCGTGGCCCGGCGACTCTGTAAATGCATGAAGTTTTTAGTGATTATTTTTTCATTCACAAAATGAATAAAAAACTCGTGAGGAAATATGATTAAAATGAGAGATTCCAAACAATGGTTTGAAGGTAATTTTTTGTTATGGTAAGCTTATGTTACTCAATGATGTTATTTAAAAATCAGATTCCATCTCACCTGAAGACGGGGTGTTCTACAACCAGAATACGGGATCATATTCTGGTTTTAGTAACCGTGATGGAAGATTTCTGCAAAAATTTCTTAAATAACTCCAACACTACTTTGTACATGACGTTATATTCCTGTTTTTACTGAAAGCATGAGTCGTTATCGTAAATGCGTGAAACAAAACAGAGGAAAATTATGTTCTAATTTGGACCCAGCTATATTTGGTGATTGAGGCTTAATAAGAAAGACGTGGTAAAAACATCGGTAAAAAGCAGAGGGTCTGATTTTTTTTAGATAAAAAGATCAATATGGTTATTTTAACCATACCACAGTAATCTTACTGTCTTAATTTTGTTAAAATTCTTAAAAGTGTACCCACCTTGGATCCTAATCTAGACTGTCAATGTATGATGTTGTGCATAATGAACTTGTACTTTTACACTTGTAGTTGAAGTCTTGTAACATAAAATATACAGTACAGTAACTTTACATTCATTTGGACATATATAATGGATTCGTAATGGCTATAAAGTTTATAAAGGCCATGACATGCCACCCGGATTGTCTTTTATCCAAAAATCATGACTATTAGTAAGGATTTTCGGTTTTGCAGTAGGAACTAAGCTGTGTGTGCCAAGGTATGCCTTGTTCAAAATAAAATGTGATACTCACTAGCATACGCTCCGTTGGTGGTGGTACACTTGCAGGTGAACCGCAGTTTGCAGTATGTCTTCTTGTGTTCTACCAACTCTTGCAGCTCTGTGAACATCTCTCTACAGTTGCCGCAGATCAGAATGTCAGGGTTGCCTGTAACACAAGCACATCAAGTCCTGCAAATTGTGTAGGAAACTGCAAGTATAATGTAGTCTCATAAGATATTTAATGCTATAGGAGATTTGAAATGGTTAAATGTATCCACAGATTTCATGTGATCAATTATCCTCCAATTACATTTTTTTTTCGATCAAGGTCCAGGGAAAAGGGTCTACATCTGAAAGATGTATTGTCATCTGAAACGTTATGGATTTTGTAAGAGTAACTCCACACAAAAACTTGTACATTCTCAAAGTGATTTTATTTTTGGACAATGATTGTTTTTGTCGGTTTTGTAAAATAGTAGACAACCACTGAACAAACAACTATTTTAATGATTTATTCAATATAACAACGGATTATTTTGTTTGACTCCATTTTTTCTGGATTCTTAGTAGGACGAACGCATCTGATTGCGCGCTGGAACGAATCGGCCTCGCTTATAGCTGCCACATATCAACTAACAGCCATTTTTATTTGTTTTTAAATTTTTTTTCAACTGAAGGTTTGTCGAAATTCATTGAATCCGTCAATTTATTTAGAACTAGCTGTACCCGCGGGCTTCGCCCCGTTTAGCTTCATAAGTATTCGCATGGCTCATTCACGTCCTGGTTGAAGTTCGTTCGCTACGCTCACTCACCTTTAGGTTGGAGCTCGTTCGCTGCGCTCACTTGCCTTCAGGTTAGCTCGTTCGCTACGCTAACTCGCCTCAAGGTTGAAGTTCGTTCGCTACGCTCACTCACCTTTTGGTTGGAAATTAGCTGTTGTCATAAATTAAAAAAAATTTTTTAGTGCTGCACCCTGTTGGTAATCCTTGTAACTTTTATGCTGTTGAACATCATAGAACAGAATCAACTTGTTTAATTGAGACAGCTGTTAAGATTCATTAATTCCTTTTAAATATGAAAAATCATAAGATTAACATGGGGAACTACAGAGCCACTGGGGCGGAGCCCGAAAGGGTCTTTGAGATAAGAATATGCTTTAATGTTAATCGGGAATGTGAGCTATCATCATGCCAAATTTCAGCCCAATCCGTCCAGTAGTTTATGCGTGATTGAGCAACAAACACACACACAAACACACACACAAACATACACACAAACATACACACAAACTCACAAACTTTCAGATTTATAATATTAGTAAGATTAATTTAGCATATTGGTATAATGGGGAAACTTCCTTTCTTAATGTTCAAAGTCCATCATTTTTGTGACCATCATTTGGGATGTTAACAGAATCGTTAAATGTTTTTAACATTTTCGAATTATTTGTGAAAGTACAATGTACCAAGCCAAACTTGTCTAATATTTATTGGCTAGCTTCGTTGACATAGGCCTACTATGTATTTTGGAATAATTGTTATGCACACGAGAACGTGATTGGTAAGTTTACTAGAGTCTAGCTAACTTCCGCAGCCCCTTTTAGTAAATAAAGACTTTCTGGTCTACAAAGAGTACAAAAACAAACTGACTACTGTGTAGTGTGGTGGAACATACATGATAAAGTGGAATTCAGTACAATTCAACTATTTTGTATTGTACTCTTATTACCACCGTTGACAAATCGTCACCTTTAAAAATAGATGTATACTAATGGTTAAGCCCACCGCATTGAGGTAGGTAGATGTAGAGGTGGGTAGAGGTAGAGGTGGGTAGAGGTAGAGGTAGGGAGGCAAGGTGGATCGATTGAGTGGGTTTGTGGGTTGCAGAGGGTGGACCAATCTGACACTTACTGTACACCTTGAGTTGGCCGAGAGGTAGAGGGGTCGGGGGCGGCGGGCTGGACTGCTTGTGCTGTGCCGCCCCCGCCGCCTTCGCCGCCGCCCTCACGGGGGTTGCACCCATCAGACGAGGACGCTTCAGGGGCGGCACCAGTCTAGGCGCTAGGAACTGCGCGGAGGCGTAGTAACTGCAACAAACAAGTTCTCGTCAATGAATGAGTTTTATAGGTCAAAGATAAAATTGTTTTGCCAGCTGATGATTTTCATTGAGTAAGGTTGTAATTGAAAATTATCAGTAAATTAGAGAGTTGAGTGTGAATTTAAATTAGACAACACTATTAAGGTAAATTAAAATTACACCTTTAATAAATTAAAATAATAGTAAATTCCATCACGAATTGTCTTTTCAAATCTTTTCAAAAAATCTTATCAACCGGAGCCCAAGTTTCACTTGGGAAATGAGTGAGTGTTAAAAAGGCACTTTTTGCCCGTGTCATGAATTTAATTTTTCGTCATATTGCATCTTGAACTAAGCCAGAAAACGAAAATACGTTTCATGTAAATATAACAACACTTCTTAAAACAACTTCAAGGTTTGTTTTCAATTCCGTTAATGTCAATTAAGCAGAGCTATTTTAATCATTTAAGCGATTCAATCATTTCGTTTATTACGATTGTGTTGTACGTTATACAATCAATACGTAGAAATTGACGAGAATTCAACAAGAAGCTAAAACCTAAACTAATAAATCCATCGATAAATAATTTCCAACCATGCAATTTCTTACAATCGAAATTCACAACAGCTGACTTTTACTCCCTAGGGACTAAAAAAGCTTTTTACTCCAGGGAGTACAAATACCACTTTAGACTCCGCAAGGCAAGTATTTAAAACGCTGATTTTGCTGTAATATGTGGAAAATTAATATTTTACTGAAACAAAGAAATATGGGTAAAACATACACGTCTACATCAATGTGAGGAAAGATAGTATACTTCATAACAGGAGTAGAAAGTGAGTCATAACATAATAGACCATATTATGTTTGATGTGCGATTCACTAGTGTGTTGACTACTACTTTTCGCTACATTACAAGGACTAATAATTATTTTTGAAATAAAACAGAAATGGGATATCTTATATCACAGTTAAAAACATTTACAAGTACAAAGTTCAAATTTACATTTATTGTACCGTTTTGGTTGTTAAGAATTGAAACAGTTGTGGAAATTAAACATGTTTGAGGTTTACGTCAAAAAAAAAATAGTAAACATTACTTTTGTATAGTAAACATTCTTTTTGCGTAGTAAACAATGTAATGATGTATTTTCACAGGTGATTAACATAATGAAAACATGATTGAACTGTAGTGTAGCGAAAAAGGGGATTTCCATCTCAATGTTGTCAATAATTACAATTTGTCGTCGTACTTGCAAAACAGCTGATTTATTACATGCGTTTTCCGGTCTAAAGAAGCTCCTTTTCACACGGAGTAAATAGTATATTTCAAAACAAGAGTAGAAAGTGAGGCATTGCATATTTGAGACCATGTTTGAAGAGTGAGATTTATTGCACATTTTAAATGGTCAAGAATAAGTAAAGACCCACTTTCACTCGTGTTTTGAACGTTACTTTTTGCTACACTACAAAGTACTTTTCTTCATTACAAAACTCATAGAATTCTTTAGGCTATGCCTTCAATTTAAATTTAATATTTACTTTAGTTGTTGAAAATGGAAACAGTTGATAAAACAATAACAAATATTTGAAGTTGTTGACAGTGGAACATTTTTGGTTGTAAACAATGTTACTTTCTGTAGTAAACAATAGACACCTGTTGAAAATATGATGTTTCGCAGGCTGTACACACATAATGAAAACAGCTAAGCTCATAGTAGTGTAGTGAAAAATAAAATTTACTTGACAGGAAGTAAAAATCACCAAATCATCAAATGGATACGATGATGTCAGCGGTGCATTTTGTTCACTTGTTAACATCCATTGTAAGAAATCGGTCGTATCAAAAGTAACGGTTGAATCGATTGTTTCCAATCTATTTCAGTGCATAAATACATAGCTTTCGACTGGATCCACATTTCTTTACATCGGATCGAAGAAGAAGGATGGCGTGAGAAAAGAGCTTTCACTGAAAGCCTAATAGAAAACACTAACCAATCACAAATTTATCTCGGTAATATTCGATATTGTGGTAGTCAAATACATTACTTGGGGTCATTTTGAATAACACTTTCAATTCATTCACAACAATACAGTCAGTTTACCTTATGAAAGTTAACTCAAAACAATATTTATGACAAGTTTCTGTCCCTGGTATGTAGAGTGAGTTTTGATGTTGCGATTTATTTCTTGTTATTTTGCCAGCTTCAAAACTATTTCCAAAAAATAAAAGCACTATTTATAAACCGTTGATTTTCCTCAGGCATTAAAACAAAAGTCTATAGCGCTCTGTTTAAAGACACACAAACCTTAAGCTTCGGCACACCTACAATCCAGCTAAGTATGAAATACACATTAAAATAAGCTTTACCCTTTGCAAAAGAATATGTGTTCATGTTCATTATCTAACTTAAATGAAATAGCTCGGCATCGCTACGTTTAAAATTTTTTTAAAGACTTTAAAATAAGTGTTTTACATTTTGAATAAACTTCACCGTAAGGTCTTTGCCCCAGTAGTTCAATAGAGATGGCTCTTACTACTCTATTTTAGAAAGAAAATCTGATGTATTTAAACTTACTTTCATGAGCAAACATCCAACAATAACAGTAAACTGGGATTTGGCTTGGCTCCTGAACTCCACACTTGTTCTGTTGTAAGTAAGCCGTCATTCGCTGATGTTTACGATGTCGTTAACAGTTTTCAACACTATGTGAATAAATTTATTGCCTGTAATCTGTGTGCCAAGACGAATCATAAATATTTTACGTTAAATTGTTTTCACAAATAATTTCAATCTGGTTTGGAATCAACGTATTCTCTTATATTTTTTTATAGAATAAGCTAAAGAGTAAGATTACTTGTTTTCTTAAAGCACTAATGACACCACTAGGTCAACCGCAACCCAGAACACCATACTCCAGTCACAGTGTAGCTTTGGATACTTCGGTGTCTTTTATTTTCTGGAGAAGTGATTGCATAGCTACATAACTAAAATGCATAACAACTGAATAACATAACATTTATTTTTATTAATTTGTAAATTATCATTATTATTTTCATTAGGTATTAATTGAGATGGGGATGCCACTTAAGTGAGTATTTTAACCCAAATACTAGTGAAATGAGAAATCTGTGTAGTTTTGTTGCTGACTATCTGTTTCATTAGGCAGGATCATTTATTTAAATCCTAGGGGGTCATTTATTTATCTCTGGGACAGCTGGGTCCAGATTAGGGTCATCAAAAAGCTACCGACTGTTCTCAGAGTCGATCCGGCGACACTTTGATTGTTGGCCCAGCACTACCTCGTATAACCACTACCCCAGATACTCAGTCGGTCAACCAATTTTTATTTAAATGTGAGGGAATTAGATCAATTTTGAATTACTTTCTGCGCCTTAAAATGTGTTAAATTGTATATCAATTTACTTTCTAGCAAAATTACACATAAATTTCTCCTTCATCTAAAAATGCCTCTACTCGTATGAACAACAAATTGCCTGTTAAGGGGTTGTAACCCTGAAGCAGCGGAAGATTGAAGCTTGATACAGTGATGTAATCTAATCACGGGTTGACTTTCAGAGATGCTGCACTGTATTACTTCATACACAACAGAAACTCATACTACAGTAACTGTCAGATTGAATTAGTGAGTGTGTAAACAAAGATTTTTCGCACTCAACCTTTTGTCACAACACAACCTCAGATTGAATTGAACATCAAATTGACTTTAAATAATTAAAATGTTGGCCAAATATTTGTTAACTAGTTTCGAGACTTTCGTGTGCTAAAGATGGCCGTTCTTCACAATTCCAGTCATAAAACTGATTAAAAATAATTTGTTTATGAATAAAACCTTTACGGTTGAAACCAGGGCGCGCTATGGAAATTTAGGAACAATTAGTGATAGGCCTACTTCATGCATTTTAAGCTTCTATTTAACATAATTTTGTGGCTAATATTGTCAAATTTCAAAGTCAAAATATGATTTGGTCACTGATCCCCAAAATGTTTACCATCCAAATTAAGATTAACCAACATGTTGAATTGCATATTTAACATTTGTGCCACTAGTGTTAACATAAAGATAATTGTATGAATACAGAGTATGAGAAGATCCAAAATGCATTTGACATTTTGTTTAGATTTTCTTACAAACAAATATTGTCGTGAACAAAACAGAAAAAAAACACTTTAGAAGACGTTCTTGGCGCGTCGAGGAGTGAAATTAATGCTGTCAGTCGTTTGACAAATGTTGATGGTTTGTCCTAAGATTATTAACCTTTTGTAATGTATACAATAAAATGACATAACAAAAAACCTTTTAAAACATAAAAAAGTCTCAATTTAAAGTAAATACCTCGAATCATTAAATAAATTGTTAATTCCATGTTGATAGAAAGAGTAAAATTTAATTGTATTTAATATTTTTTTCCTATTTTGAAAGCGCACATTTATATCGTGTACCACATAGCAAAGGAAAGAGCATTTAACATTTTTGTTAAAGAACTGGAAACGATTGTTTTTATTTCAAACACTTTTTCACTTTTGCGTGGTTTGAAGCAGGTTTTTGTCCGGTTTCAAGTGTTGGCGTGTTTAAGTGTCCAAGAACCTAAGAGTCCCCTACACGACGAGCTCATTAACCACTCGTTTTCCTCTCTTTTCATTCCAAAGTGTTCCAATTTGGTTCACAGTAGGGGGGCGGGGGTAGCCAAGCTGTAGGCTAATGATTGTTCCTTACTAATCATGCATGTTGATGATTTCAAATATAGAATTGAAGAATTAAAAAAACTATCTGTTAGTTGTGTATGTTTGGTCATAGCAAAGTATTAAATTTAGTGCCTTTAAATACATTTTATTCACAACATTATTTTAAAGTCAGATTTTTTTGTTTTTTACAAAGATAGTTCCAAATAACGATTACAATACAAAATCAAATATACGTTTCTTAAACAACAGCAGACCATGTATTTTCCTTCAAAATAGTTAAAATATTAATTATAAAGTTTA